GCACAGGGGGGAAGCAGCGTGGGAGGTCCAAGCTCCCCGCAAACAGAAGCTGACTATGGACAAAGGCTGGTCGCCAGCACCAGCCTCTGTCCGTGGAGGGACTGAGCTTCCCACAGAGGGAGGCTGCTCCAGTCTCTTTCCATGTGGAGCTTGGACCCCCACGGACAGGGGCTGCAAGGGGAGGCGGGAAATGCATGTAGTCAACAAGATTAACCAACAAGCCTGGGCATATAGGTTAATCATGTAGTTGTCTACATGTTGACATCCCTAACCCTTACTTGACTTTTTATTCCTACTTCTTACAATGTCCTCATCTCACTAGCTCTCCATTCACCGTCATCCAGCCTAGAAAGCAAGGATGTAAAATCCTGTTTAAATGATTAACCAACTAAAAGGGGGATTAAGTGGAAGGGACACTCCAACCCAGCTAGAGCAGCCCTCCTTGCCCCCGCCAGGCTGGAATGCTTCACACCATCTCGCAAACAGGGGCTGCTCCAACCCAGCCACAGCATTCCCTGCTTGTGCTCCCCTGATACAGGTAGAGGCTGCGCTGGCTGAGATGCTGAGCAGTCCCTGCCTGCAGCAGACCAGTGTGCCCCAGAGGAAGGGGTACTCCAGTGTGCTGACTGGAGCAGCCCCTGCCTGCAAGATGCCTGGGTTTGATGCCATCAGGGATTGTGCTGGAGCAGCCCTTGTCTGTGGTGGGCTCCCTCCCCTGGGATCGGAGCAATCCCCTGCTTGCAGCAGGCAGGAAGCTACTCCAGCCACACTGTTTAATCTTCTTACACAGTAAGTCTCACCTGTTAAGGGTGAGGCTTACTGGTCAAATCTTCACATCTCTACTAAGAAGAACTTTAATTTCTAACTTAAAAAGAAAAAGGGGAGAGAAAGAAAAAAAATGAAATGAGACAAAATAAGCCTTTCAGCCCTTCTCACGTCATAAAATTTCAGACCCTAAAAAGCTATGGAACAGGAACCATCTTGTGTACTATTTGTACAACATCTACCCACAATAGAATCCTGATCCTTGACTGGGGTTCCTTTGTGCTATCACAGTACAAATAATAATAGTGTAGAAAAGGTTCTAAATAGTAGAATGTCAATGACCCCTGAATTTCACAAGAATTGATAGTGATCTCAAGTTTGAAGAAATTTCTCTAATAAAGTCATAAAAAGGAAGACAACTCAAGTACCAACTTTCTTCCCCAAAAATTTGTTTAATGAAAATAATTTTACATTAAGATCCAAAAGAAAAAAAATACACTTTAGCAATCATCAGAATCATAGCAAGTAAGCGTGAAAGCACAAGTTATCTTCTGGTGTCTGAGCAACACCTGACTAACATGGAGAGAAAAAGCAAAAAACAAAAACACCTTGCTACAAACTTCCAAGTCCGCTCAGAGACAAGATGTTCGACTACATGTTCTCTGCGCTTCTTGGCATGGACCACATGCCCAGCCACTGATGTCAGGGCCAGGAGAAGAACTTTTCTAAATGTGACCCAGAGAAATCCATCCACTTCACTAGTTTTTTGGGAATGCAAGGCTCTCATGATCCACATTCTTTGTGAAGTCAACAGGCCCAGATCCAAGAAGATAGCAGTAGTAGAGTCAGTCACTAGGATAGACTCCTCTTATTGTGATATGCGTTCAAACTTCCCATGGCCTCTGTACCTCTCAAGACGATTTTCACTGAGCACATCACATTAGTGATGAGTGCAAGCAATGTTTTCTACACAGACTGGCACAAGCCCAAGAAGATGACTTCAACATGTAGTACAGCCAATGCCAGGTTATCTGCATCACAGCGCTCACTCAGACGCTGTTGCTTCCACTGCAGCAGAAGAAATCTCACCTGTTGGAGATCCAAGTATATGGTGGCATCATTGCTGTGAAGCTGGACTGGACGTGAAAAGTTGGAACAGCAGGTGCTTGCGTCAGTCACCTTTGGTCAAGATGAAATATAGGTATCAGTGCAGTCATGAAGAAATACAAAAGGAGTCACCAGATACTGGCACACCACAAAGCTGCCCTAAAGACTCTCAGGAGTTTGTGCAAAGTGGCCCGCACTGACACCTGGCAATTTGCTCACATGGCTTTCTCTACAGCCCAAGCTAGCCTGAAACAGTACCAACACCACCCAGAAATCAATTAGAAGATTTACAGGATTAGGCAAAGTTACCAAATCAAGAATGGAAAGCAGATCCAAAAACAATCTAATATAAGCATTAAATACCTATATAGTTCTGTCCACTATATATTGTGTTTAAAGACTGTGCTATTAGGACTATTTAAAAAACACCCTGCTTGTACAGATGAAGAGTCAGATCTCGGAGAAGAGTGAATAAAGTTTAATTGACAGCTTCCAAATTTGGTCATGTCCTCTTTCAGGCTGCCGGGGTGAAAGCAGCTTAAACTGGACAATTCAAGACAGACTAGGGTGCTAAAGAAAAGACAAGACATCTGAAATGCTTTCCTGTAGCTATAACTTGTAGTTGGTCTCAAACTATACATAATTTTCAAAAAACTAACTACTGTATAACAAACAGAATTTTTCACACCATTCTTTTGTGCATTTGTTTTCACTTTTGTTTACCATTCATCCACATTTCCTAGGAATATTGCTTCCAAGACACTTCTTAATGATCCCTCCACAGTGAGGGATTCTCTTTCCCAATTTCAAAACGATTTGGAAAACGAAGAAGAACAAGAGCTTGTAATTGTTTTGCTTATTTATTATGTATGAAGGAATACTGACAGCCATACTGATTCATTTTTGCTTCAGATTCTCCTCACGGTACTACCTATATTGCAGTTATACTGCCCAATGCCCTCCAAGTACCAATCCCACAAATGGATAAAGAAATAGCTTCCTGGAGATTTTGAAAGCCAATTGATATCATAAGCAATTATGGGAGAAATCAAATTTGGATCTCTCTGAAGAATTATATACCTTAGTCAAAAGCTTAGTGGGCATGCACTACTCAATCCTGCAGTATATGACTGTAATGAAGATAATCAGTGGATGAGGCTTAGCTACAGACAGACAGTTATTCTTGAGAGAAACAGAAGCAACTGCAAAACCAAACTGATGAAGGCAACCTGATGAACTATGCTTAGTATTGCAGCATCACACCACAAAGATAAATCACGGTGCTTTGTGGTAAAGAGAATGGAAATCATCCTGTGAAGACAGGTTCATCAAGGTATTAAGCAATGTACCAGTCTGAAGACCGTGGGGGAAACTGTGCAGATTTGAATAGCAATATATATTTTGTTGCATGTGCATATGATCAAGATGATTAGCAAGTGAAAAGAATTATCAGGATTTTTCAATTCTAGAAGAACTTTTACCCACACTCTCCTCCCTACCTAACCTAGAATAAAACAAAACTCGTACCTAAAGGGTGGCTGGACTGGATACCACAATTTTTCTAGAAAAGCTCTCTGTTCTTCATAAATGGACAGCAAAGAACACTATACCCGCTGAATTATCGACATTACTGCTGTCCCACCCCCAACATAATTGCACGATGCTCTATATCCAATTTATGTCTAATGACACCGTGTTGTGTGTACACAAATGTGAAAAAGATGTCAATTTAGCTACACAGTAAGCAGGTTCAGAGCAGCAGTAAAATGGTTTTGGGACACTGAAAGAAAAGTATAGAAAGTCTAGCCCATAATGACTGTTCAGTAATTGTGACATAGAAGACACATTGGCAAAGGATACCCCATTCTTTGTAAGCAACTCTCATGAGTGCTATGTGGTTTATAGTAGAGACGTAAAATCCCATTTAATTAATTAATAGGTTAAATGTGAAGTTTAACTGTTTAACTTATTAAATGAGACCAACAGGGAGGCTGCTCAAGCCTGCCTGTGAGCGTCCCAACCAACAGCACACCAAGAGCAGCTCCAGCCAGACTGGAGCTGCCCCCTACAAACAAACAAACACACTTATGGCAGGCTCCACGGGGCTGGACCAGCTTCCTGCCCACAGCAGGCAGAGGGCTGCTCCAACCCCTTCTGGTTAATCGTAACCAATAAGCCTCACACACTAAGGTGAGGCTTACTGGTTAACCATTAACGTTCCTAGTTTATAGGAACAGTGGTTTAAGGATAAACTGGTAAATTGGGGATACATTCTAGATCCTTTGCATCCAAAGGTGAAGGGTATGTGAGTGGCCAGCGTCAGAGGCAAAATATCACCAGAGAACGATTCACTGGTATTTGTTAACCTGCCTGGAGAGGGAAGGGTTGCCATAAAACCGGAAGGGTTGCCATAAAACCAGAGGAGAGTACTTTAGAGTGGCTGAAGAGCCAGCAGTGTCAGGAAACTGACAGCTACAAGAAAGATTGTCACTAGAGGCAAGGGGAAACAAGGTGACTCTCAGGCCTGGGTACTCTGAGCACCACCACACTAATGTAGCAGTTTTAATATTTGCCAGATACTCAAAGATTGACTTCTCTGGACAACAGAAAGAGGAGGCAGAAGAAGTTGCTTCAAGTCCTGAAAAGCTAGAAAGACAAGCTAGGCTGTTGCATATGAATAAACCTTGCAGTCAGCATGTTGACCAAATCGAAATATTTAGTGTACACTGTCAAATAAGTGTGAAGAACTTGGAATAGATAAGTCATTCATCACTTCTTTAATGCCAAATCTCACCTTACATATTACACTTTTTCTTTATTACATATATCAGTCTCAGGCTACGTCTACATTCTGTAGATTACAGCAGCATAGCTAAAGCCTTGCTTACATCTAAAACCTTGTTGCTCTGTAGCTGCTACTCTGTTAGCAGAAGAGAGATCTCCTGCTAACAAAATAAAACTACCACCGCCACCACCACCACCACCAGAGGGCAATAGTTTTGTTAGTGACAGAGCCTCTCCTATTCACAAAGTGCTGTCCAAATCAGCACTGTCATTAAAACTTTTGTTAGCCGGGATGATGTCTTTTCACATCCCTGCTCAACAAAAGTTTACTGCACTTTTGTCATTAATAGACATACCCTTTTTTGATATGGTGATGGCAAAGAGCAGGGCTCGACAAACAATACAATCTATTCGCCCATGGCAAATAGATTTCAGCCACGCGCCCCGTTCATTCGCGGTGCGCACATGCGCATTGCAGCTCTTGCACATGCGCAGTACGGGCCTGGCGAGCGATTTTCACCATCGTTCATCAAGCCCTGGCAAAGAGCATTGTTACTCTACCCCCGTGGTCACCAACTGGTCGATCGCAAGGCGTCTGGGCTCCCCCCATATTCCGCACACCACTGAGAAGCCCCACTACCTACCCCCAGCGAAAATGGAGGCAGGGCCGGCTTCCCCCAGGAGGACTGAAGTCCCACAGCTTAGCGCCACTTCCAGGGGGTCCGGAAGTGCGCTGGCTGCTCTGCCGGGTGCACTGCAGGAGGGGGCGTCGGCCCGGAGGAGGTGCACAGCGACTTCCCTGCACCAGTGCAGCATGCGTGGGGTATGTGCATTTCCGCCCCAGAGCGGGTGGGAATATAGAGACTCCCTGCCCCCCACTGGCACCCCAGCCTAGGCTCCCTGTTCCCTGCCCTCCCTGTGCCCCCTCTTCCCTGTCCCCCTCTCCCCAGCCACAGAACTGTCCCCAGCTGCAGAATCCTGTCCCCACTGGCACTCTGTTCCATGCTGCAGAACCTTGTCCTCTCCCCTCCCAGCATTCTGTTCCCTCTTCCCTGCCCCCAGCCGCAGAACTCTGTCCCCACTGGCACCCTGTCCCCTGCCGAAGCACCTACTAGCACCCTTCCCCAGTACTATCTCCCCTGCTCCCACCAACACAGTTGGGCCGCATTAGTGGGTGCGGGGGGTTGGAGGAGGGTTTTTTTGCTCACTCCCCTCTCCCCCCTCCCTCCACTGCCACCCTGCCCCCACTCCCCAGCCACAGAACTCTGTCCCTTCTTCCCTGTCCCGAGCTGCGGCACCCTGTCCCCTGCCGAAGCACCCACTACCCCCCTTCCTCAGTACTATGTCCCCTGTTCCCACCAACACAGTTGAGGCCACATTAGTGAAGTTGGGTGCGGGGGGTTGGAGGAGGGTTTTTTTGCATCTCACTTGTGTGGCCCCAACTGACTTTTCTTGGGTCAGAGACCCGACTCAAAACAGGTTTCCTGCCCTTCTCAGAAATAAAGACAATGCAGAAACTTTTTGTGTTTGACATAGTATTTTATTTAAAAATGAAACCCAGCCAACAAATCCCCAAATGGGACCAAGTCCCCATCTGGCCACAGCATCATAACCCTCCTGCACTCCACTTTCCCCCAGACCCTACATCTGAGCCTATCGTACACTGGAACCCCCTGCCCTGAGCCCCTCACGTATCCCAACCCAAATTCCTGAATCCTCACATCTAGAAGTCTGTGGCTTGCTTAGTACCCTAACCCTACATCTGACCCCAACACTACCCAGCCTGGAGACCCCTCCTCAAGCCAGCGTCCCCTTATCCACCTCCTCCTGCATCCAGGTTTCCTCCCAGAGCTTGCACCTCACCCCTTCTCACACCTAAATCCCTCATTCGCACTCCAGAGCCTACACACAACCCTCATTCCCATCTCAGAGACTACACATCCTGTCAACCCAGCGAGGGTACGGCTAGACTGCAGGAATTTTTCAGGATTCCGGAGATATCCCACAAAAACACTTCTGCATCCAGGGGTGCATTTGTTCTTCCGCTTCTTTTAGTAGAAGAGCAAACATGATTTTTCGGTCACCCCTATATTCCTCTTTCCACGAGGAATAAGGGAGCTTCCAAAAGAAGGAGTTTGACATTTGGTCCAGTCTAAACATGCCAAATGTTGGAAAAACTTCTTCCTACAGAAGAATTGGGAAAAATGCAGCAATATTAAGGTTTGGGGATAGCAAGTGATGGAGAAGAGGAGAATAGAGAGGGCGGGGCTTCAAGGAAGGGGCGGTACAGTAGATCTTGGCTTGGTTGGTCA